ATGGTGGTTGGAGACCATGTAGTTGTAAACGATGCCGTCGACAACGAGATCGGAATGAACGGGGCCGTTGAAGTAAGTTTCGACAGTGTTGTGTACAAGCCAGGCGCCGTAGGTTGAGCCATTGGCGCTACCAGTACCGTCGGCGTACATGCCATGAGCCTTGTGATCGCGCCATGTGTCTTGGAAGGTGTACTTGGTAAAGTAGTCTCCTACGCCCGTCACGTACGGATCTTCCTTATTGGCCAGCCACCATGTAGCGTCTTGAACAGTGACTTGTCCCTCGGTATCTGGACGAGGTGCAGCAAACTTCTCGTTGGTAACGAAGTGCGTGAAGAGCGCGGGTTCATGGTTTGGCCTGAACAGTGTGCGAAACTCTTGCAAGTTGCGCAAAAAGGGAGTGGTCTTATTGTTGTATACCACGCGGCTGAAGGTATGCAGACCTGTTTCTCCTTCCCTCAGGAACCAGTATTGCTCCAGCCTCTGACCGGTCGGAGCGTATGTCTCGCCCATGCTGATACCCCCATACGAAGTATTAGTAGAATCCTTGCCGTTGAACAGCTGGTACTGAACATTGCTTCCGCGGCCTGGTGTCCAGAAGCCAGATGGAGTGCAGTAACAGTCGAGATAGGGACCGACTCCAGTGTTGCCATCTTCCGTCCCGAGGAGGTTCTGGCCGTCAAGAGTAAGGACATTGATATATCCTCTTGTCTTGCTCACCGACGCAACTAGACGATCGTTGGCAATAGTAAGACTCTGGTTGTTCTGACTCGCGTTCAGAAAAGCCCATGCTTTCGAAGACAACAAGAGCGCCGCCGCGGTCGCTGTGGTGGAGCGCATATTGTGAACGGAAGGCGCCAACGAGCACTACTTGCCCTCGGAAGTACTTCGCTCCCCATTCTTATACAGGTCTTATCCAGGTACACGGGAAAATTAATTGAAGCTAAGATCGATGATCCTGGCCGTAATCCGGGGTAAAGGAGGAGAGACTGCTATGGGGAAGACGCGCTACTCGGCGCTTCGGCGTGAAAGCGACCGAGGACAGGGTCTGTTGGAGGGCGGGACGGCCTACATGTTGCTGTCGAAGATGCGATGAGTAAACAGGCCGCACCTTTTGGTGCAGTTTGACATTCATATTGGCGCTGAGGGTGTGCGGAGGTCGTTGACGTCGCTGTGGTGCCGTGCTGGCAACTAGCTCTGCTTCTGGCGAGCTATGACGGAACGCGCTTTCTTGTCATCGCGTACCCGTCATCATACACGCGCGTGTTCTTGCAACTCCGCACCCTCAAATCATGCAGACTCTCGTTGACCGATACAATATAGAGCATACCTAGGACGACACCTTCCTTAAAGCTGCCCCAATGTGCGCCTGGGTGGGCGATGGACTCTCGAGCACGTGCCACCGTGTGCATCTGATGCCTCGATTAGCAGGTACGGTAGCTAGTTAGTCTTGCTATCCGCTTTTCCCCTTCTTTTGATGATACAGGTGTTTTGATGGCTGCGCGAATTGGGGTACGCGCCTCGCAACTGCTGCCTGGTCTTTTCCTCGCTAGCCAAAGCCGCGCCCCATGCCGTGCCACTTTCAGCACAGGTATTCTCTCCTTGCATGGGCGATTGCAGAGCATCAGACAGCGCCACCCTGTGCATACACTTTTGTACTGCGACCTCGTTCTCTTCTGGATTTTACGGTTGGTGTTAGCCTTGACGCCGCAGCTGGGTACGCATCGCTGAAGACGACTTCGCAAGCTCTTCAAAAGGAAGCATCAAACCAGTAATTCCGGCTATACCATCATGCGCTCTCTTTCAACACTGATGCGCTCACTCAAGGACAAACTTATCGAAGCATTAATTGTCGCACCTGTTGACTGCGGACTGAAGAAAAGCGCACGTAAGCGGAAGGAGTACCACGATCGATTGCGAGCCGAAGCTTGTGCTGCTTGGAACGCCCGACTTCCTAGAGTAAGGCAGAAATCTGAGGACGCCTTTGACTCTTGTTCAACCGCCGACGTATGCACTCAACAACAATCGCCGTTCTTCGCGAAGCTGCCTCTCGAGCTACGGAGGCTTATTTATACATACGCCATGGGCGGCCAAGTCCTCCGGCTTGAGCTCCATGGCCAGGACGATAAACAGCTTCAGCGTCAGATGGGTGAGGAGAACGACGACGAGATTCCATTCACGCTGAGTTGCGAACAAGCAAGGAAGCTGCTCGGGTTCCCAGCGTCGTGCAAAACTGCGTGAGTAAAGTAAATTCCTCACATGAATAACGTTACTGCTCCATGATACAGTATATCTGACTGAATATGCTAAAGCTACGTCGAAGCCGCACAATACGTCTATAGCGAAATCACCTTTCGAATTCCCAGCCTTACCGCCTTCTTCGCTCTTCACCGTATTCTTCCTCCGCGTTGGTTCCAAAGCATTCGTTGCATGAAGTTGAGATGGGCGTATCTTTCGACACACGAGATGCACAAATTTCTGGAAGGCGATCCACCGTATAATGCTTCATGTTGGTCTTCAATGTGGTTGGAAATATCAAAAATGAGATCAATAGAGTATATGGAGGTCGACATGGTGATCTGGGCGCCATATTTGGACGCTGCATATGAACATGTCCTCTTTACTCCACTGGAAACTCTGAGGGGTTTGAAAAGATTTGCGGTATACACTAGTTGGAGCGAAGATGGAAACCTTCGACGAGAGAGTGGAGGAAAGACATGGCCCTTCAAAATCACGCGAGGAATAGGCGTGAGTGACTGGTTGCCCATGCAATGATATTTTGTTCATTGAACAAAGTACACTGGGAAGTCAAACTTCACTCGACCAAACAGAGCCTATCCAGCCATGGGCTCTATTGGGTCCGCAAGGAGCTAGTTGTGTCACGGTCTTAGCCGAGTGGCACCTTGCATAAGCCACGCCCCGACCTGGATGATGCTGTGCCGCAATGGCTTTGCCACACCAGGGTGACTAGGCACCAGTCTACCGTATCACTTATGGGTCACGCTCGACCGGAGTGAACCTCTTTGTATTGATGATAAGTATTGAACGGTCAGGACGTCGATTCCATAGTATCGTTATCGCCCTTTTCTCCCTTTACCACATCTTCATCGACTCTGTGGCAGTGGTCATGCGATCGATCAATGAGATGGCCTGGAGTGTGCTCAGCAAGTTCTGCGAGGCAGTGATCGAGCCTAGACTTCATAGGACCAGTGCCAAGAGGTTTCAAGAGCGAAGACGAGTAAGTATGGAATGGCGGAACACGCGTCGGGCGAATTGGAACGCATCTTTACCACCTATCCGCTCTGACACGATGGAAGTCTCGGCATTGAGCGCAGCAACGGATGGGTTCTCGACTCAGCCACAATGCTCATTTTTCACGAAGTTGCCTCCAGAGCTGCGGACAATGATCTATCTATACGCCCTCGGAAACGAAGAACTTGAAGTGGAGCTTGTCCCGGAAGAGATCGAGTTGTGGAGATATCACGATCGCACGGTATCGTCCTTCGATTTGAGATGCGCGAAGTTTCAGCAGCTTATGGCCTTTCCACGGTCGTGTAAGATCGCGTATGTCTCTTTTCCTACCTGAGGTCTCACTGGTGTACAAAATATGACTAACTTGTTTGCGTTAGGTATTCCGAATCCATACAGCATCTCTACGCACGCAACATATTCTATATCCCTACCAGTACAGCATTCTTCTGTCTTCATCGTCTTGTACCCACGCATCACTTTCAAGCAATTCAATCGCTACACCTGAAGTGGAGAAGTCATGACTTAAGCATGCTATGGGAGATGGCGAAAGGTGTACCGCCATACGACCTGTCATGCTGGACTCGTACCTGGAAGGCGATATCAAAGATGGAGGCCCTAAGATACATAAGGGTCGACCTGGTGACATGGAGGACGCGTCCTAAACCGTATTATATCTACGAGGATGCCTTGTTCACCCCGTTGAAGGAAATTGAAGGCTTGCAACAGTTTGATGTATTTGTCAGTTGGGAACTCGGCAAAGAAATAGAAGGGGGAAGGCAATGGCCTTTTACAATCAAAAGAACTATGGAACATATTCCATGAGCACGCCCGGGCGGCGTGGAGCTTTAAATGGACACACCAGCTCCCTAGGTAGTTTACCTACATCAGATCATCGCGTTAAGCTCCCCTCAGTCGAATTTATAACAAACTCGCGCAAAAGTAATACCAGCGACGCATGACCGCAAATATTGAAAGTGTTATAGTTTCTAAACGTCCTGTTCCGGCGTTTCGGTGCTAATCCGGGACGAATGACCGGTGACGTCATTATCTAGGGGAAACCGAATCCGCCTTGTGTACCTGCCTTCCGAAGCATTCAACACCAAACATCGGAATCCCCGGGATCTTGTCAGCTTGCGCGGCCTATTTCCGCAGTGATGAGCTCTTCGCAACCAGAGAGCCAGCCGCTGCTACCCAGCTCTCCAACTAAGGTTATAGCTTTCGAACCCCACGATCCAGACGACCCCCGGAACTGGTCGAAAGCGCGCAAATGGCTAATGGTCGCCGCCATCGTGCCCATAGACCTCAGTGTCTCTTGGGGCGCGAGTGGCTTTAGTCCCGTCGCGAGCGACTTCGCGAAAGACATGGGCGTGTCGCCGAGTGTCGCTGTTCTGGGACTGAGCATGTATGTTCTTGGGCTGGCTTTTGGTCCTATGACTTTGGCGCCACTTTCGGAATACTTTGGACGGAGACCTGTTTATATTGTGTCTTACGGTATCTTTCTCTTGCTCCTTTTGGGAACGACATATGTAGAGAGCCTTGGGCCGTTTCTTGTCCTGCGTCTGTTCTCGGGTTATTTCTCATCCACGACAATCTCGAACTTCGGAGGCACCATCGCGGATCTTTTTCATCACCACGATACCGGGCCAGCAATGTCTTGGTTTCTCTGGGCAGCGACAGGTGGCAGTCCGACTGGATTTGTGCTCTTCTCGTTCATCGCGCATGGCCGATCGTGGCATACTGTATTCCGCATCATGTTTTTCATCTGCTTGACCTTCTGGGTGGTCATGGTCGTCGCGCTCTATAGCCTTGGAGAAACAAGACATAGTGTGATCCTCTTGCGGAGAGCACGGACCCTACGACAGCAAACAGGAGACGAGAGGATCGAAGTGCCGGATGAAATGAAGCAACGAGGACCGAAGCAACTGTTCACTACAGCACTCGCCCGCCCATTCAGGTTCTTAGGCTCTGAGGCTATCGTGCAATTTGGTGCACTCTACAACGGGTTCCTTTACGGTTTGAGCTTCCTGTTCAACGGCGCCTTCCACATGATCTTCGGCCCAAACGGATACGGTTTCGATACTATCGGCGTCGGTATCTCATTCCTGGGAATTGTTGTTGGCATTACGCTTGGTCTAGCTACGAACGTCTTACAAGAACGATACTACCAAAAGCGGGTTTCGCAGGCCGGCCATCGCGACGTCCCGGAGGCGCGAGTGCATCATGCGAAGCTGGCAGCGATTGTGCTACCGGTGTCTCTTCTGGCTTTCGCACTCACCGCAACGCCGAACATACACCCCTTCTTCGCAGTTCTCGCCAGCGCATTCTGGGGATGGTCATTCTACACTCTCAGTAAGTTACACAGATAAAAAGGTCAAACGGCTGCACTAACAATTTGATCTAGTTCTCATGACGCTCACGTACACCGAAGACGCCTACAAGACGTACTCAGCATCAGCCCTTGCCGGGATTGGACTCATTCGGAATCTTGCTGGTGCTGGATTCCCACTTGTCGGAAGACACCTGTTCTTGAACGTAGGCACCAGGAACGCGAGTCTAGTACTGATGGCAATCGCCATCTGTCTAGCGCCGATACCATTCGTGCTTGAGAAAAGAGGCGTATCATTACGCAAGAGAAGCCCATGGGCGGCCGCGCATGAAGATGAGGACGAGAACAGCTGAACCTAATACCGCTTGCGACAGTTGTCTCGCATTGTATGGGGCTCAGTCTGTTCTGTTATGGGAAGGCGTTGGTGGCGCGTCAGATTCATGCTCCAAGTTCAAAGGATTTGGCTGTCATACGCTTCGACTATGGACCGCCCTGTACAACAACTCGTACGCTGATCATGGCCGCAGTGTGCCTGGTCAAGCAGAAATGTCTTCGCAACTCTATACCTGGGCAAGAACGTGGAACGGATTTCTGTACCCGACGAACTCCACATTTCAATCGAATCAGAGACCCCTGGTCTACTCGCGTTCAATCTTTCCATCAGCCACTGATATGCATTCCTCATTACTCAGCCCTTCGGCCGTCTAGGCAGCGGCAAGTGAGCGACCCAAATGGTTCGATCTCGCGCACGTGACATTCACTACACAGCAAACCCAACACACCCATTGGACAAAACGGAGCATGACGGCTATCCGAAATCAGCATAACAACGTTTCAACCACAACAGAACGTGTTGTTTCGGGAACTGCCCGTGGTGTTAGCGCGTAATCCCATTGATCGTTGCGGGCCAACCAACGCGTCGCGCAGCCGAGAGGGTCGGCGCGTAACGCTAGATCTCGCGCTGCCGACTACCCACCCGCGTATCCACCTGAGATATTCTTAGACCGTACGAAGTCTACATATGAGGCTCTGCTCTTGCGATGATAGTACAGTATTCTCCAGCTTCAACCATCTTTCTTTCCTTCAGTCGATTTTCATTCGGTTCTTTTCTTTTGAGTCTGTTCTGTGAACAACTCTGTATTTCATTTGCGACATAACTTGCTTGTTTCCTTCAGTCAAGTCTCAGCATAGCGACGGAGTTTTTCTCTCATCCATCGTCTTTCGTCATCTCCCTTTTTCTTATTGCGAGAGAGATTTCGACCAGCGCGCAAGTCGTGTCTAGTACCTACAACGTCATCTCGAATTACGACTGCACCATCGACTCATCTACGAAACGTTCGCAAGACGCCTCCACAGCCAAGTTCCGAATATTCACACCGACACGAAAAACTCTCAGTAACGTCGCAAAAATGTCGTGCCAACCATTCACTTCGGTCCCTCAACCACCCACCAACCTCCCATCGTGCGCCGTACCTGTCGGTGGCTCGAACTCTTCAATACTAGATGCATGCTGCAACGGGCACATCAACGCGATCGCGACTTACTCCGCTCCCGACTCAACCACATCGTCACCATCCGCGTCCTCAACTCCAGTCATCATTAACTCAGAAGACAACGACGGCTGCTTCCAATACTGTATCACCGATTCACCAGACATCGTCCAGAGTTGCTTGGCACAAAAGATGGAAGAGTACGAGAAAGAAGGCGCAAGCGGCATGGGCATGTTCGGCTGCTTCAACACGGACAAGGCGGTCGGTGCGAGAAAGGTCGATGAGGAGCGAGGTTATGCTAGTGCGGGTGTGAGGATCAGTGGAGGTGCGAGTTGGGTGGTATCAATGCTGCTGGGTCTGAGTGTCATCGGTGCAGTTGTGGGTGGCATTTGAGCGCCGACGAAGAGACCGGCCCATGGAAAGACCGTGGAAAGATGCGAATTGCTTGATCGAGTTTTATACCAAGGCTGTTCTCTAGCATATCCTAGCGCTGACGCTGGACGTAATGAATAATGACATATTTCAATCCCTGGACTATAGTAGCGGTGTGGAACAACAACAGTGATGAGATCTACGATAAGATGGTCTGAACGACTTGGTTGCACATCCGAACCGCAGATATATTCGTGCGGTCCCAAAAGTAAAAAGTAAAATTTCCCCAGCCTCAAATCGTCTTCGACACCTACAAAGGCGGTGAGTGAGCAAAGGAAGACATTCCCCACACTCACAAAGCGCCTCAACAACATTGTGTGCTAAGAAATCCGGTGCAGATCCCGTCACCGCAGTTGTAAGTGCACTAAGTAGTGGTCGTGGTAAATTATAAGCAGCCCTGGTGTTTGTTCTTACAACTACCGTCTAAGCCTGTCAGCCGGAATCATGTCGACAATGCCGGAGCAACCACACATCGTCAAATACTGTAACCAAGAACTAATGCACCCACAACCTCGGCATCCGGTGCCCATTATCGAAATAGAAAGAATAGCAGCCAACGCTGACAAACAAGATTCTCCAGACCTAGCCTTCGCATCACAGCAACAACCACAGGCGCAGCAACAGCCACAATCACAACCACAGGCGAAACCAGACCAAATTTCCCAACGGAAGCGAAAAGACAGCGCAGCACCTTCATTATATAGCGGCTCCCCCGTTTCGGAACAGTATGAGCAAGCTTTTAAAAACGAGCTGCTTGCTACCTCAAACTCGCCTAAGCATGTGCCGGAGCATTTCTCCAACTCGGGCTTATTAGAAGCTGGGTTCAACCAGGAGACTTCTCGCAGAAATTCCAACTGGCGTCGCTTCTTTTGTAAGCCCCCGATCTTGAGAAATTCTAATGAGAAGTATTGCTAAGTTTTCCACCAGATGGTTCTCTAGAGTTTTTGATTCCTTTTGGAAGTGAATGGGATAGCCCGTGTTTAGCGTCCCGGAGGACTTCTGTTTGAAGAGCGTCGAGAGCGCGTACGCTACTTATGAATGAATGAAATCTCTGAATATGAGATCTTTTCCCAGTTGACACTGCAAGCTTGATGTGTACCTGATGATGACGGGTCTGTGGCTGAGGGGCAGCCGATGTGGAGACCAGGGAAAGTTCCCCGCGACGTTTTAGCGCTATCGCACCCCTGCCGCCGATGCGGAGCGTCATATCTTTTTCTCGAACGCGCAAACAGTCACAACCCAGTTCCACACGTTATTCTCTCATAGATCTCAAGATGGCATCCGAAAAGAAAGTAGCAGAGAACATGCTCTGGGGAGGTCGTTTCACAGGTTTGTGCAGCCATTGACCTCTTGAGTCCATCGACACTTGAGATGACTGGTGCTAAGACGCGTTGCAGAGGGCCTCGACCCAGTCATGGAGCAATACAATGCGTCTCTCCCCTACGACCGTCTCTTCTACGCTGAAGATATCGCCGGCTCTATCGCATTTGCCCGCGCAAACAAGAACAATGGCATCCTCACCGCCGACGAGTTCGCAGCCATCGAGAAGGGCATGGCCCAGATCAAGGAGGAGTGGGCGACGAATTCCTTCGAGGTCAAGGCGAACGATGAAGACATCCACACCGCCAACGAGCGACGGCTAAGCGAGATTATCGGCAAGGACATCGGAGGCAAGCTCCACACAGGGCGAAGCAGGAACGAGCAAGTCGCGACCGACATGCGGTTATGGCTGAGGGAGCAGCTCAGGACACTAGAGGGCTACCTGAAGCTCCTGATCAAGACATCGGTACAGCGAGCCGAGGCCGAGATCGACGTGCTCATGCCGGGCTACACACATCTCCAGAAGGCACAGCCCGTCCGGTGGTCGCACTGGATCCTATCGCATGCCACCGCTTTCGCATCCGAGCTCGAGCGCCTCCGCGAAGTCATCAAGCGCGTTAACCGTTCTCCACTCGGCTGCGGCGCGTTGGCAGGCAACCCCTTCAACATCGACCGCGACGCCATGGCCAAGGAGCTTGGTTTTGAGGGCTTACTCACAAACTCCCTCAACGCTGTCGGAGACCGCGATTTCGTCTTCGAGACACTACAATGGGGGTCGAGCTTCATGCTCAAGATGTCGCGCTGGGCGGAGGATCTGATCATATACTCGAGTCTGGAGTTTGGCTTCGTGCGGTTGGCCGACGCCTACTCTACTGGAAGCTCCCTCATGCCTCAGAAGAAGAACGCAGACTCGCTGGAACTCATCCGAGGAAAGAGCGGTCGTGCGTTCGGGCACATGGCGGGTTTGTATGTCACCATCAAGGGTCTTCCTACAACCTACAACAAGGATCTGCAGGAGTCTGTTGAGCCTCTCATCGACCACATCAAGACGGTCAGCGACTCCATCCAGATCGCCACCGGTGTTCTGTCGACCCTGAAGATCAATGCCGACAAGATGCACGCTGCATTGGCCCCGGAGATGCTGGCCACAGAGTTCGCAGACTACCTTGTCCGAAAGGGCGTGCCTTTCCGTGAGGGTCATCACATCTCTGGTCGCGTAGTTGCCTTGGCAGAGGACCAGAACGTTCCCATGGACAAGCTGAGCTTGGAACAGCTGAAGGGCATCGATTCTAGGTTAGGCGACGACGTAGTCGCGTGCTTAGATTACGAGCGCGCGGTAGAGCTGAAGAACGCCACTGGCGGCACAAGCAAGAGCGCTGTCATGGAGCAGATCGACATCTTGAAGACGATCCTCTAGAGTAGAGGTTTGCCAAGCGACGCCTAAAACGGGTTTAGACAAAATTCACGGTGGTCACAGGCTATGAGAAATGAGAAATGATTACTACACCACTAAGATGTCGAGTGGTGATGAAGGCTGTTGCATGCGTGCGCTGGTTGCATGTGCTTACCCCACTTCATCTAGCCAGCGGGTCCGCGTTCACATCGCAAGGGGCCATATGCTTTTGAAAAGATCTGGATTTACTGCAACTGACTCGCATCTCATCTCTCGGACAATCATCAGGGTCGAACATCTGTCCAGATAAAGTTACCATGCAACAAGATCCACAAAACACCGACGTCATCGCCAACATAAACTACTTCCCTGCCACCGGCATCCCCATCCCCAAATCAGAATGGAAAGTCAAATACCTCGACGACAAAGATGAATACACCCGCCCCATGCTCATCCGCGACGTACGAAAAGCCAATAAGAAATTCGACCTAGACACCAACGGCTTCACGTTCGTCGCACTACCACAAAAGCAGAGAGTAGGCAGGCACAGCAGCGAAGAAGACGTAAAACGAGAATACTACCCCGAGTTGGAAGAAGTGGTCAAGAACCTGTACAACGCCCCACCAATATCCTACATCTACGACCTCGTCATAAGAAAGCAAGATATCTAACAACGTCCCCAGAACCAACGCCTCAACCGTCCACATCTTCAACCACG